TTTCTTTTAGTTTTTTAAAAAATCGACTGTATAAATTAAAATGGCCCACCCTGTATATAGAGAGAGAGAGAGAGAAACTATAGATAAAAATGTGAATAGACTATCGTCACCTACTCGTTACAGTTATTTATTGTGGGAAGGGTGGTTTACCCCCTCGCAACAAGGGTGCGTGAAAAGTCGGACATGTAAACTTCATTATTTAATATAAAAACATTTTAAAATTGCGAATGAAATTATTTCGATACAAAAAAAGACAATTTTCCTTTAAGGGATGATTCAACCTTTCATTTTGATTTTTTTGAAAAAAGCAAAAACACGTAACTTTTATTTTTTTACGCTCTTTAATTTGGTTTTTGTTTCATTAAAATCGGTTAATAATTTCTTTTGTTACATTTAAAAACTATAAAAATTGATCTTTTGGGGGGTGTTTTACCCTTCGCAACAATGATGTATGGGAAGTCGATTATGTAAATTTCACTATTTAACTTAAGAAACATTTTGCAATTGGTTTGATGTTGATCGGTGCACTGTTTCTATGCAAAACACCATAACGACTCCCTAATACCCCCAACTTTGTGGGTCGATTTCACCCCTTTAATGTTGACCATTGCCGATAAAAAAAATACGTATCTATTATTTTTGCCTACTCTATAAGTATACAAAGTTTCAATGAAATCGGTGAGTCACGCAAAGGTAGGTTTACTTGTTAGAGGTTTATTTTTTATTTTTTATTTATTTTTTACATTAATTTTTTTTACATTTTTCGAAGTTATAAATTTTTTAATATATTGTCCGCCACGATGTTTGGTCTGGGTTGCTGCATCTATTCCTTTGAAGTCCGTTAGTGTATGAACATCCTTCAATAGATTTCTTCGTTTCCTCTTCTTTAGCGAAGGCGGAATCGGTGAGAATATCCTGAGAGGCTGCAGGAAGGTCTGGATTTCTTCAAGAAGCTCTGGAGTTCTAGGTCGTTCTTCTTCCAAAGATGAGCTGCTGATGTCAGATGGCACTGGGTGTCTTCTTTTCGGCAACTAGTGCCTATGAGCGGCCGAGCGCTTTTATTTTGTGGGTTTGCGCCTTGAGGCGGCTGAGCGCCAGATATTTCGCGACTAGCGCCTTGGAGCAACTGAGCGCTATCAGTTTGGCGGCCAGCGCCTTGCTCCTGGCATCCAGTGCCAACTGCTGCTTCTCCAGAAGAGTTTCTCTTGAAAGAGAGTTTCTTTGGTCGCGGTGGTCAACGAAGGGTGAAAACCTTTGCTGTTATGAGCAAAGGCAGACTTTTCTTCGAATTAGTGGTTACGATTTCTTTGACGTCTTATATCTGGAAATTCTGGTTGCTTTTCCTGAATTTCTACCGATGATTAACATCCTTATATCCTATCTTCAATTAAGTCATATCAGTCTTCAATTAATTTTAAATACGAGCTTTTCTTCCAATTAATTTCTTCTTAGCGAATAAATTAGTGAAATTTCTGTTGCTAACCAACTTCTAAAAATTAATCAATACTTTAAGTTATCAGTAATGTGACAGTTCTGGTTGTGAATGGCTGTCACAACTGCCACACCATCTGTTCTCTTTACTATGTCAATTGCATTTTTCTCAGAAATATACCAGCCGATGTCTCGAAAGAATATTTAATTCAAGAAATGCGGTTAATGAATGAATTATTACTACCAGGAATATTTGGATACGACGTTCGGAGAAACCTCACTCGTCTACAAGATATTATAGATGATAACCATTTATCTATACTTAATGTAATGAACTTGGTAAGTATAGAAAACAAAGCATATGCCTATAATGTATTGCTATGCACGAAGATTCTCGCATTTTACAGAAGAATAACATTTCCATTTAATAAGGATTGTGACCACTACTGCCACATACAGGCAAATTAATACTGTCAATATTAATTTCATTATATTTTAATTTGTTATTATTGTTGATGAGTAAAGCATATGAAAATTAAGTAAAAATACTGTTACGTTTTGATGACTTCATGATTTCTTTCTTTAGTAAAATTTTAATATAAATAATTTTCTAGAATAGAACATGACATGAAGCGTAATAGTCACACATTGGCGAGTAGAATAAGATCCTAATTGCACCTGAACAGCAAACAATTTAAAAAACAAAATTTAAAGGAAGACGGACTCTCTAAGAGAGATTTTTCGTACATGTTTCGTGAATAATATTAACATAATTGCCACAGCAATGATTAGCATTCAACTTGCAACGCATAATAAATACTTCAATATCGTTGTAAGTATTATGGATGATTGGCATTAAAATTAATTAAAATACAAATTTTTTTGCGAACAAATATATCATATCACCACCGCCAGGGTCTAGGGAGAGGGAGGTACAGGTTCAAACCCTGGCCGAGGTGACATTTTTTTGCAATAAATTTAGAAAAAAATATTTAGACAGTAACACCCTGTCACGGCTCGTAGTCCTTTATTCTTCCAATTTGTACTTAATACATTTGAGCCATACCAATTTTATAAAAATACAAAATATAAATATTGGCCTTAATCCTTCTTTTATTTTTGACAAAATGTAAACTTTTGAATAACGTTAATGTTATACAGAATGTATTAGACCGCCCGTGCCAGCTAAATATCTTAGAAACCGAGAACGGCAAACAAAAATATTTCAACTAGTAAGAATATTCTTAAAAGTCGCCAGAAGTAATTAACAACATCAATGATTTTTATTGATATTGATATTGGTATTGAAAAATATTTCTGACAAAAGTTCTACAGTTTCCAGTAACGCATTAAGCTCTCTCAAATTGGCAGGACCAAATCAGCAAAATCGAATGCGATCTATTGGATTTTTAATAGGTACTTATTTTGTACTGATTTGTACCACCAAAAATAATTTTACTTTAATTACACCGTACCATTTAAGAAAAACTCGTGGCGCTGCTAGCTATATATTAAGCTAGCAGGACCACATAAGAATAATAAAAAAAAATAAAACAAAGCAGAAATAGTTAGTCCTAAATTTGTACTAATTTGTACCATTAAAGACAACTTGAAATATTCCTGTTATCTCTTTAAAACAATCCCCAACTGTATTCAGCTCAAGAGTAATGTAGTCGTTTCTATCGGCAGAATCGTGTTTAAAATTAATACAAATTAATATATTTTTAATACAAATGACTACTATTGCTAAAATTATCGTAAATCATCTTTTTAATCAATTATTTTAGTTATTAAAATTATTAACAGATAAGTTTTTACAAAAAGACGTACACGTTGGCCAAGAGTGGACACTTATCATTCTTTTTTTATTTTTTCTATTACTTTAGTCTCATGCATAAAACAGAAAGGACGCGAGATGATACATAGACAAGCCAAGCCGCTAGCCGCTACATCGAAAATTGTTAGCTGAAACGCATGTAACGCGTGTTGGCTACATTCCATTATAGCGCGGAAAAGAAAGAGGAGACTACATGTGTTCGTCTGTACTCTTCTACCGCCGAAGCCGACCGAGCAACGCATTGAGTGACAAGTGACGTGACTCCACCTCTCGCTACTGCGTCCTAGGCAGAGATGGGCGGCAGTAATTACTTTTGTCTTCAAATTACACATTTAATTACAAATTACTTTTACTACTTGTAATTGAAATCCATTTAATTACCCATTACTTTCAGCATTTGTATTTAAGTTCCATTCCATTACTAATTACTTTGAGCATTTGTAATTGATGCCCAAAGTAATTGATTCTCAAAGTAATTAAATAACATCACGTAATTTAATCAGATTCGTGTAATTAAATTACATTCGTGTATTTCTTGTTCGAATCAAGTTAACAACAAAAAGAACGTGAAAGTGTACTTACTGCAAGACAACTGGTTCTGTTCACGTCGAGCAAAAGTTCATTTTTGGTCTTAAGATTGTTCGCGAGTTGCGAGGTGCCTTCGCAATATTCAAACATTGCGCGATAGAATGATGGAAATTCGGCTCCATCATTCGAATATATTATATCTGAATTCGTCATAAGGAGGTACGACTGTTTCCTATATGTAGTAGATTCCTTTCCGCAAATAAACAGTATACGGCTATTCTATATAATAATTTCTCCAGAACATATTAGCATTAATGCAAGTCAAAAAGCAGAGACATATAAATGTGGCAATTATATACATTGTTTAAGTATTGGTGCTAAATATTGCAGAATAAATTCAAGTTTTTATAAGGTACAAAACTATGTTTTTATGAGGTAGTAATTTTCAAGCTCACAAAAGTATCTCATTAAAATTTTATTTATTATTGGCCAAAAGCTGACATACATGACATCAAAATGATATGTAACAAGCACATTTCCCGACCTTTGGATTTCTACGTTTCGATCAGATACATATCTCATCAATATATGTATAATCACGTTTGGCGATTCTTCTGGTTCGCTCGTATATGTACGTCAGAATTAAGCGCTCGGTCATTTTTCAATATTTTTGTACAATATTTATACAATATCTCGCGCGCGCGTCTGGCGCGAGACTATGCGCGATTCGTAAATTTCGTAATTCGCGATTCGTGATTTGTGATTCATAAACATTCGTTGAACATTCAATATGTCTGTTCTTGTATTTAATCGATGAATTTTCCCTCCACATTATTCACGAATATACGAATAGACATAATATATTATTAATATATTCGAATGATGGAGCCGAATTTCCATCATTCTATCGGGCAATGTTTGAGTATTGCGAAGGCACCTCGCAACTCGCGAACAATCTTAAGACCAAAAATTAACCTTTGCTCGACGTGAACAGAACAAGTTGTCTTGCAGTAAGTACACTTTTACGTTCTTTTTGTTGTTAACTCAATTCGAACAAGAAATACACGAATGTAATTTAATTACATGAATGTAATTAAGTTACGTGATGTAATTTAATTACTTTGAGCACCAATTACAAATGCTCAAAGTAATTAGTAATTGAATGGAACTTAAATACAAATGCTGAAAGTAATGAGTAATTAAATCCCATTTAATTATTCATTATTTTGAGCATTTATAATTCGGTAATGGCCAATTACAAATTCGCCCATCTCTGGTCCTAGGAGATATAAACAAATAAACCATTTTTCATGCCTGCCGGGTCCGGTCTTCCGCTCCTTGTGCGTTCATTCGACCAGACATTTTTATCAATTACGCGATAACTATTGCTAATTTTGCACAACGGTACATGACTTTTCTTCTCAGTTTAACCCAATCTATCGTAATTTTTAGGTTGGCTACAAACGAGTCTGACACCCTGTATATATATTGTATACAACTTCTTGATTTGAGTTTTTCAGGGTTTTGAGCAATATACTCACGCCATTGACTATTCTTATACATTGCTTTGGTTATTTAGTCACTAAAATTAATCAGCTGTTTTTATGAATAAAACTTTTAATGTATATAGTATGTATTCATTTTTTTATTATAATCATATTTTTAACAAAGCTACAATAGTATGAGATATAGGAGGAAGGAAAATAAAAATATAAAAATATGTAGAAATATAATTTGTTTATTAGGTTTTATATGTATGTATACTGTATGTATATATTGTATGTGTATATATTAATAATAAAAAATACATATTGATAATAAAAACATATTGAAAAAATTGATCTTTAAAAAAATATATACATCACAAAAATGTGCAGATTGTGTATGTGTATAAAAAATTGTTTAAAAAAATATCAAACTGTAAAATTAATGTGTATAATGTATTTAAAAAATCTTTTAAAACTTTATTATGCATAATTGTCACAATATCAAATTATTTATATTTAAAATTTATGTTTTAATGCTGGGCGTATGTTAGCAGCAGACAATTGCACCTGAAATTAAATAAATTCATGTTAATTTATTTCCTACTTTTTTAAACAGATGTGGTGCAATATAAATAATTTATAATGCATACACATTTTGAAAACATACATTAAAAAGGACATGAATATAAGTATTAACAAAAGACAAAAAGTATTTCTTTATTCATAATATATGTATTTCTAATAAAATAAAAGCAAAGTATAAAACGTTTTATTTTATAAATATATTTATGCATTACTACACTTTTGCTCGCGTAAGTTGTACACTTATTTGGTTTTAATTTTGTTGAACGAATTTTTAATCTAAATGCATGATACCGAAGAATAATTTTTTTTATATTGTATCATTCAGGTAATGAAAATGCAATTTCTTCGTATTTCGTAACAAAACATTTTTTCAAAATAATTTGTTGCAAGTACACTTGCTCATAGAACATTCGGAAAATTCTTTCCACTTGTATAAAAAATTTAAATGTTCTATCGTTTACTGGTTTTGATTCTGGTTAATAAATTAAATGAGTGACAAATTATTGTATTCGATCTGGTAGCATTTATGCAAACATCGCAAACCTTTTGATTTTTATGAATATTTGCCATGATATAACCAGCTATGTGATATAAAACATTTAATTCAGTCTTATTTATATAAATACGTTGAGTAGATATAAGTGGCTTACCATTATTAGTATCACTTGTTAAAAAATGCGAGTCAGCAAAACGAGTTTTCAATAGAATATCTAAAAACTCCGATAAGAATTGACGATCGTCTTCGTCATAATTACTTTTACAAATCGTTTTCATGAATTGTGAAATTGTTACAAGTTTTAAGTTATTTTTAAATTGTAGAGTGTTTGGAGTAACATTTTTTAATCTAATTTTTGAAAATACATTTTCTAAACAGTCTTGTGTTAATCGTGACGGCAAAAAGAAGGTAAAGTTACAATCTAATAAATATTGTAATAATTCAATAACCGTTTTTGTAGATATTATTAATGCAGTTTGGAACGGTTTCCATCTACCGTCATTGCCTACTTTTATACATGTGAAAAACTCAATTGCCTATTGAAGGAATTGAATTGCTTCATTATACTTTTCAGGCCTTTCATGACTTAAAAATATTCCAATGTCCCTACTGCTCATGATATGAAACATGACATCGTGCCATAAAATTCACAAACCACCCAGTTGTTAATCTCTCATCACCGGAAGTGTCATTTGCTAAGTATTGTAATGCTGAACCTATTTCTTCGCTGAAAATTCTGATTGCATTGCTAACTCGCATTTTTTGGAAGTGATTACTAGAATCTAAATATTCATCGCGTAGCTTGGGCGCTAACTTTAAGTCGATACTTTTGTCTTCATTAAGTACGTCTTTTAAATGTTCGCAATTAGCTACATTTGAAGGTAAAGAATATTTTTTACAAAACTTTTCAGGAACAGTAATAATTTTGTTATTTAAAAATCCCGCTTTGATATTTTTAAAAGCATGTGGAGAATCCGCATATAAATACAATTTTCTTTTCTTATCGAATGGATGCGTACATCAATTATTTATTTCTGAATGTCGTGAAGCACTGATACGGTATGCTCTCCACATTGCTTGGTTAGCAGGGCCCATGTCTGAGGTGATTGCATGAATGCGTAATCGAATTCCTTCGGCTTTTGTAATTATTTCATCAAGCACAGGTTTCAAATTTCCACCTTTTACAGAATCGCCAGTAAAATCATACCTTACTACTGGCTTACCTTACTACTACTCTCGCACCGAGCCCAGCTAACATTATAACTAATGCGTGAGTTGCTGTTGCAGTATAATCATGCCCGACTAAAGTTACATTACTAACGAACATATTCGTTGATATATCATAAAACCTTCCTGGAGAAATACTCATCTCATCGAGAACTATCATACAATCTTTATATAAATCTTTTTCAAAGTGAGCAATTTTAATTTTTAAATAGTCGAATATTTCTGTAATAACTGTACCACTATTAAATTTTAAATTTTCTAGTTTTTTCGTCAGTGTTCTAATACAAGGGAAAGGAAGTTTTTGTTTTAAAATTTCTTCATAACCTGCTGTGCCACATGCGAATCTTAATTTATAAGCATTCATTAAAGTTTGGTTACACCAATGAGGCATTTGTTTATATTCTTGAGTTAATAATTTTATTTGATCTTCATTTAAAATGCGAGATAAACTTTCCTTTAATTTATCTGAACGTATTTCGTCTTGTAATTTTTTAATCCTTTTATTGGCCGCAATCAGATTTCTTTTTAACGTTATCCTAAACTTTTCCGATTTGTTTAATAACTTCTCTAATCTTCTGAGTCGTTGTTCAAGTTTCAAACTAGAAGACATATTATCCTTAGTGAAAGGCGTTTCCTTAAATTCGAGCATTTCTCTTTCTTCAGTTTCAGATTCATCGTTTTCTGTTCCTGCAAGTTTGTTGTAAACATCACCTACATAGAAATGTTAAGAAATAGAAAACAGACATTTTATTTAAGTAAGCATAATTTTTAAGATTGAGACGGGAATCTTATAGTCAACCCAACTGGCTGTTTGCTTAATTAGTTTATTACACAACGTTTCGACCCTATTCTTTTGGGTCCTTTTCGAGTGATACTGCAAATCAACAACATCAACGCAATTATGAACAATGTAGGTTACTAAATACAATGTAGGTTAATAAATAAATAAATAAATAGGATTTAGTTAAATAGTTAACAGTTCAGCAACGCACCTGAGTCTGTAATCGTCGTCGAATATGACAGAGTCCAGTTATAAAATATATGTATACTTGTGAGCACTATGGTGGCTGGGCTCGAACTAATTTGCTAGTCATGTCTTAAGAACAGTACAAGGTGATGTGAACTAAACTGTTTTGATTACACAGTCATATATGTACGAGTATTACATTTAGGTTTTCGGTGTCTGTTTGTAAATTAAGTGTGTTATCGGTCTTCTTAATAAAGAACATTTCGGCGATTTCTCTTTTTCTTCTAAAGCGCTCGCAATGTAAAATTTTTGGTTCCGACCAATTGAACTCGTGATCATGTGATGCACGGTGTTTGCTGACTACGGAGTAGCAACTTTCGTCTTTTCTCATGTCATTTTTATGTTCTTTGATTCTAGTCAGAAGGTGTCGTTTGGTTTGCCCGATGTAAGAGGCTTCACAGTTGTTGCAGTTAATACGATAGATGACTTCAGTTTTTGTCCCAATTTATCTGATCTTTGCCTCTTTTAATAATTTTGTCTAATTTTTTGGGGACAGTGTAAATGGTGTTTAGACCTGTTTTTTCAAATTCGTGCTAATTTTGTCAGTCAATCCTTTAATATAGGGGAGGATGCTTGTTTTAGGGTCAAACATTTTTTTATTATTAGTGGGCGTGCAGTCAGTATGTGTGGTGTCCCGTCTTTTCAGTTCGTTCAGTCTGGTATTTATGTGTTTGCTAATAAATTTGTTAGAAAAGGAGTTATTGATTAAGATTTTTTTAACAAGATCTATATTTTGTTTCCAGTATTTTTGTCAGAAAGTAAAATTGCGTGGTCAACTAAGCTAATAATAGTGTTAATTTTATATTTAAGGGGGTAGCTCGAGTAATAGTTAACGTATTGTCCAGAGAAAGTAGATTTTTGATACCATTTAGTCAATATTTTATTGTTGTCGTCTTTGATAAGTGTCACGTCAAGAAACGGGATGGAATTGTGTGTTTCGGTTTCATGAGTAAATCTCAAACGTGGGTGATATTTATTAAAAATAGAGAGAACAAAGTCAATCTTGGCAGATTTTACAAAAAGCTCTTCTTATGTCCGTGGATAATTATGAAGTATTAATAAAAACACTCGTATGTCTCCACAACTTTATAATGATTGGTAAAGAAAAATTACTTATGCATGAAAGACGCTACTGTCCTCTGAATTATTTTGACCGAGAACATTATAATATGTGATGGAAGGACGTTGGAGACAGCAACACTCAGCTTACTTTAAGGATATAAGTAGATTAGGAGCCAAATCGAGCTAAAGCTGTTACTATAGGTTTGAGAGATTACTTACGGGATTATTTTGTATCTGATATTGGACAATCTCAGGCACTCTGGCAACATGAAGCTTCACTTGAAGCTACACACATCAATCTACCTACTGAACTGAATAACGATGATGATTGAATAATATTAATGATAATGATGACTAAATGATGTTAATTTAACTGTAAATATAAATATAAAGATTTAAGAAATTTGTAGACTTGGTAGTATTTTATTAAAATATATTTCCTTGTCTTTTATATCTTTAGCACCATAAATCTTTCACTTTATAGTCTTTTACAACAAATAACATTTAGTTTGCTCTTTACAGTCTTTTACCAAGAACATTACAGTTAACAAAGAGTATAAGCATACAAATACTTATAAAAATAAAAAGCTGCAAAACAAAAGATATCATTCTCACTTCCCAATTTTAAAATAAAAATATTTTCAAATCAACAAAAATAAACTTGTGTAATTATTAAACATAATATATTAGTAAAAATAAATGAATATTAATGAGATATTAATAGCTCCAGTGTGCTATTATCACTTATTGTTCTTCACATAATTTTCGTTGATGTATTGCAGTACATTCAACATGCATTGAAACTTGTCTGCATCTTTTACTTTTGTCAGTGTCAACTGAAGTGCTCCTATGATGGGATCTAAGTATGTTGTAAGACTACCCATACAGCACCAAAGCTTTCAGAAACATTTCAGAAACATTGTAACATTGCAGTAATGTTTTCTGAAATGTTTCTGAAAGCTTTGGTGCTGTATGGGTAGATTCTGAATTATTTTTAGCAAGCAATGTTTGTGACACCTATACAGCTAGATTGTTCAGTCCTTCAGACTGCTTAATATATGCTTGTGCGAGCTCATTATCTGCTTTTCTTTCCTCTTATTAAAGGTATCAGATGAAGGAATTATCTTTGCTGTTTTTTGGCTCATTGTCCGTAAAACCTGCTGTCTTATTTCCTCTTTTGGTGTTCCCATTTGAACAATAAATGGAGATTGTGTTTGGAACTGTGCTTGTACTTGTTGTTGTTTTGGAAATTGAGATGGTATCTATGAATATTGTGAGATAACGGAATCATATGTTGTATCATCTCCTGAAAATGAAGAGATTCATTGTTATATATACACATGTCGTTACAAATGTCTGCATCTGAAGATAGCTGTTAGAGTGCGATATTTAAAGAAACTTTATTTTAATAAAATAAATTTATTATTTTATTTATATAATATTTCCTATTGGATATCTGACTCTAGTGGCTATCTTTAGATATAAAGGCATTTATGACACTGTGTACATAATGTAATACATACTGGATAATGATGTATACAAATCTGATGTCGCATGAGTATTAGAAGTCTCTGCAGCCTTTGTAATATAATGCTGACGTATGGGTGGCTTCACAGTTTGTGGTACTTGAAATTCTGCGGGTGAAGGACTCTCATTTGATTTTAATGAAGATGCATTCTCTACATAATTACTGCTGGTCCTGTAAATAATAATTAAAGTACTATTTAAGTATAATTAAAGTAAAAAGTAAAGTTAAATAATAATTTAATTTATAATATATATAATATTGTTTTGAACATCATAATCGAAATAAATAATCAACATACTTTCGAGGTATGATAACTGTGCGAAGGAAACTATCACATATCTCATATAATTCCCATGTAGAAACGTATGTGGGTTGCATACTTTATCCAGATTTTCCTTTCAAGCCCATAATTACTTTACGTCGCTCTTTTCCATACTTATGCCGTATTTTGTAAAATTCTTTTTCAGCATTTCAACCTATTAATATTACCTAGTACCATAACCTCACTTCTCACTAAATTCATATAACATGTCACATATACAACGCAAATATAATATTATTACCAAATATATTTCTAAGCATTTCAGCTACAGCTGTCCATGTTAGTTCTTTATTTTTGGTACAATATCCTTTATGTCGTTTATCCAACAGTTGTGGGTTAGCTTTCACGAAAGCAACAAATTCTTTTTGACGAATAATCTCTTGTCTATCATACTCGTCTTCGACTTCTTCGAAGCCACTGAGACCATCCACCCCATTCACATAATATTCGTTATCCACCTTATATTTTTGATTATTAATAATAACTACACTCTTGTATATACGTCGGCACAAGTTAGATGAAGTCGGTCAAGACAAATACATTTTACGCGTCTTGTGTCACACATCTTCTCTGATTGGCTGGCAGTAAGTCCCAGTCTACAATAGAGATTTAAGCCTTAAGCCTTAAGAAATTGACTAATCACAGTCGCGCATTCTTTTCATACTTGACCGTGATTGGTCAATTTCTTAAGGCTTAGGGCTTAAATCATCTATTGTAGACTGGGACTAAGGCAGTAAGTAGTAGGAAATGGAAATGAACCATTTCAACTCAAGCGACCAATGCGGTGCCTAGTGGCCGCAGCGCCCGCAGATGCTGGAAAGATGGCGGCGACGAAAGGATCCGCGCGCTATTTAAAGACTATTGCATGTTTACAGTAGCAATAACAAGCATTATATGTATAATTAAATTATTTGGATATTATATTTTATTAGGAAAAACACATTTTTATCTTCTCTACAAAAGTATCTTCTCTACAAAAGTAATGATATCATCAAATGGCGCCAACAAACTGAATACATATTTATACAAACTTAGGTACTTTATTATTTTTTATATTAATATATTATAGCCAAACAATCGAGCATAAAATTTTATCGGAAGAAATAAAGAATGAGACCAATTTTTAATACTTATTCCATAAAAATTTCATGGAAATAAACTTAATACAAATAAATATTTTATTAAAAGATCGCCTCTTCTAAGTTAATTGTGGGATACATATCGATCCTGATTCATGATATCATTGTTTATTAAAAAAACTTGGCGCTGCTAAACCGTTGAAATATACAATCTAAACCGAGGGGGAAACCGCTGAGGATATTGTGGTGTACAGATTTGCGGAATTACTGGGCATTGCTAGGCATTACTAACAAGGGACCGTTTCAAAGTGT